TATAAGTTTGAGAAGAAATTTAATTTGTAATTATTAATATTTTTTTTTTTTTTTTCTTAATATCCTTTCATTTCTTTCTGCCTTTGTACAAGGAGATAAATATTTAGTTATGTTTTAATGCTCTCGCAAGACGTCACCTACAGTAATTTAAAATCATTTTTGTTACGCAACTTCCAAAGAAGCCATTTTTTTAATATATATATATAAATAATTTTTAATCGCCGTTAAAAATAAAAAATTATCGTGACTTAAACGCTCTTCAAACATTTAAAAAAAAAATTTTTTTTTGTGTTTTACAATTGCATGCATACAGTTAGATAAATTTTTATACAGAAAAAATAAACAGAATTTTTTTATAAAAATTATTATACATTAGGTATTATTTTCATAACATTCGATAACTTATTATTTAATTATTAAATTTTAATGTTTAAGTTGAATTTTTTCTATTATTATAGTGAGTGTTTAAGTGCCCCCCCCCTTTCTCCCTCCCTCTCTCCCCCTTCCCTCCCCGAACTTTCCTCTTATTCATATCGATTAAAATATGACGGAATAAATTTATATATTTTTTTTTTTTTATACATGTTTATATGCAGACAGTTCACATATTAATTGTTATTTGTATAAACAAAAAAAAAGAGAGAGAGAGAAGCAAATAATTAATTATTGTTAATAAACAAACAAAAAAAAAAATAAATAAATAAATAAATAAACAGTATGAATAATAATCACTTTAACGAATTAAATATATTTTATTATTATTATTATTATTATTATATGACAGTTATAAAAATTAAGTATCCTATTAAAAAAAAAATAATAATAATTATAATAATTTTCTATACATTTATTTATTTATATATATATATTTATATCTATTTTTATTTTTTATTTTTTTGTTTCTGGTGATGGAATTAAAAAATTTTCATTCCTTGTAAAAATCTGATGATAAAAAATTTGACGCGAAAAAAAAAAATAAATAAATAAATAATAATAATAATAATAATAAAATGTATGAAGACTGAATAAAAATGATAAATTTCAATAAGGTGACGGTTACATATATATATATAATTATTATTATTTTTAGATTCGTTAGCGTGATTGTAAAAGCTTCTTTATATAATAATAATAATAATAATAATAATAACTAGGAGAAAATAAATTTAGTAAAACTTCTGGAACTCGATTAAATAATAATAATAATAATAAATGTTTACTCAAAACTTACCTTTTTTTTTTTATAAAAATTTGTTTACAACTTATTAATTAATTATCCTTTATTTATTTTACCGTTATAAAAAAAATATCGTTGATGCATACATACATAAAATTTATTTATTTATTTTTTTTTTTCTAAAAGGAAAATTAATAAATTTTGTATTATTATTATCATTATTTTTAAAATTTCTTATTTGGATAAATAATAAAATATTTTCATCACGATAGAATAATAAAATTATTATTATTTTTTTTTAACATTAAAAAAAAAAAAATTCATATATATATAATTAATAATAATAATAATAATGATTATTTTAACGATTTCCGGTTCGATCGGGTTATTAATTATAAAAGGAAATAATAATAATGATTATTTTTAATTATTTCCGTTATGGGAGAAAAAAAAATTTGTGAGTTATTTTATTATTAGTATTTTAATATCACCATTATTTTTTACGTAATAATTATTTATTTCCTGTAATAATAATATTATTATTATTATTATTATTATTACGAATGATGCGTTGTTTAAAAAAAATTCGAATAATAATAATAATTAATTTTGACGTAAATTTTAAAAATTAATTATGATACATTTACAACGAAAATATTAAATTTTTATTAATTATTATTAGTATATATATATATATATATATATATATATATATATATATATATATATATTATTTGAATGTGTTAAATTTTAGTTAATAAATAAGTTAGTTAATAAATACTCATTAATCAAAATAAATAAATAAATAAATATTTATGTAATGTAAAAATTTCATTTGTAAATAAATAATTATTGTAATCGTAATAATTATTTTTTATTATTATTATTATTATTATTATTATTAATTATAAAAAAAAATATTAGGGAAAGTTTTTAATAAGTAATAATAATAATAATAATAAATTTCGTGTCTATAAAAATAATATTTTTCATTATTAATGATAATCATAAATAAATAAATATTATTATTAATCAAAAAAAAAAAAAAATTTTTTTTTTCTTTAACGTACTTAATCAAATTTTTAAATTATCCGAAATTATTATTATTATTATTATTTTGTCAATTATTTATTAGGTAATCATAAATTTGGTTTTTTTTTTCGTTAGTAATAAACGTCGTTCCCGTAATAGTCATCACTTGTTATCACCAGTTTTTTTAATTAATTTCTTATGTAAATTATTATTATTATTATTATTATTTTTTTACGAAGGAAAAATGACAGACAGGAAATACCCTAAAAAAAAAAAATTAATACTATGATCAATTATATAATTAATTAATTATCTATCTTAAATAATATTGTTATTATTTTATTCATTATTTGATAAAATCAATGTGTAAATAAATATAAAATTTTTTAAATCAATATATATATATAAATAATCTTATTATTTGTAAAAAATAAAATAAAAAAAATTTTTTTTTTCTTTTCCTTTCCATTTTATATATAAATATGAGCTGCCCGAGGGATTTAAAATACCTGAATGAAAGACTGGGGGGTTGTTTTATTATCTAATAGGAAGAGTTATTATTTAATTTAAGCATGAATAATAATAATAATAATAATAATTGTTAAAAGCTGATCGTGATTTCTCGTCACCTTGATTGAACTGTTATTTAAAAAGGAATAAATTAAACATTACATTGCCATGACTAAACTCATTTTTAAATCTCTTGCAAAATGAGAAACGTCGACTATGGCATCCACCATGTCTTGAACGGCAGCAACGTTCGGAAAATGTTGAGCCGCTCTTTTGGTTCTTTGAACGGTTTGATCAAGTGCTTCGGAAAGTCCATCGGCTCTTTCTTGTATCCGTTGTTTGATGTGAGCTTGACTGACGTTTCTTGCCACCGTGTCTCCCACGTGGACAAGCCTGTGTGCGCTTAGTACGACGAATTTACCGTGAGCTGAAAAAAAAAAAAAAAAAAAAATTAATGAATTATATTACTTTCGTGATGAGATTCAAAAGTTTTTTTTTTTTTTTTTTTTAAAATCGACATACCTAAAAATATTTTTGGAGGTTGATTATGTTCGACTGTTTGTAAAAATGCGTCAATGGCTCGCGTGAGTTGAGCTGTGTGTGATACAGTTAAAGCTGCATAAAATCTTATCAATCTTGCATCGTCGTTTTCTTCGTCGTTACAATCTTCCACCAAAAGTGAATTATTTTCCGCATCCCGAAGGATGGCATTATATGATTTTTTTAATTCCGTTGGAAGTGCTTGACTTATTTCGCTTTCTATCGAATCCTTCGATTCTAAATTTACGTAATCGTAATCTTCTGGCAATGTTCCCGAGGAATCTCTTTTAAACAATAACGGAGCGTTTCCTTGAAGAGATGAAGCCGCTCTCCTTATATCTTCCGTTAAAGATTTGGCACATGCTATCAATCGATCAAGATTATCTAGGGAACTGTCTTGATCCGAGTCTCGGGATAAATCCTGAATCGACCAATTCATAACATCTAATTCGTTACAAGTTTCCTGAACTATTTTATCAGCATCACGTAAAGCTTTTGCTAATGGTTTCAACTTAATGACAAGATTTTTGTCAGCGGCTTTGTATGCATTCCCTAAAGACCCTTCGCAAAATTCTGATAGTTCGTGTAAGGATGTTCTAAGCCTTTCAGCTGCAAGTTTAATATCGAAAATTCTATTTTGTAAGTTATCCAGACGGCGCCATCCAGGGCTTAATAATCCGAGAAGGCGTTGAACCGCTCCCGACGCCTCATTTTGTAACCTATTTAACGTTTCCAGAGCCGAGTTTAATTCCAAAGGAAGTTCCTTGGGTTTTGGATTAGGTGCCGGAACGTCGTACAGCTTTGAAAAAAATTAATTTTTGTTAATTGATTAATTTAAAAAAATTATAAATAAAGTAATGATTTTACTCGTACCTGAGACGAAGAAAGTCTTGACTTTGGTATGTCGTATTCGGGTCCTGATAGTAAACTTGACCTGTTAGAACTAGGAAGTGAAAGGGATTCTGGAGCCGTAAGAGAACTAGCTGAGCTACTTGGCGTTAACGGTTGGCTGTTGGCCAATAATGGTCTAGGAATGTCGTAAAATTGACTGTCTGGTTCTCGACTGTCAGATTCAAATTGAGGAACAGGAGGAACAGAGCTGAAAAAAAAAAAATATTGTTTTTTTTAAAACAAAAAAATAAAAAAAAAAATTAAATAAAAACCTTCCTAAATTAAATTACCGTTTTGGAGTAGACAAAGTAGATTCTGTGCTTTCGCGAGAAAGAGCTCTAGGAACGTCATATGCTTGCAATAATGAATCTTGAAGAGGAGGAGGAATGTCATATTTTTGACACTGAGATCCAGCCGGTAGATTATATAAGTAGATATCACCAAATTTTTGTGGAGTCAGAACCTATTTATTACAATATTTAAATCAATTGTTTTAGTTAAAAAAAAAATAACTTTTCCTTTACAAGATTAGATAAATGTATGCATCAAACTAACCATATTGGGTTGTACATGCCAACTTCTTCGTTTACTTAAATTTTGAATTGGTAAATCTGCAGTCCCAATATCATAAAATCCAGGAAGAATTCTCAATCTGTTGCCAGGGCAAATACCTTGTCTTCCTCTCAATGAGCAAAGCCACCATCCTTCAATACCACCTGTGTTTTGTTCTAAAACTGTAAGCAAATCACCTTTCCTAAATGCCAACTCATCTGGAGATTCAGCTATGTTGTCATACAAAGCTTTTGCTACACAATTCTGAAATTATTTATATAGTAAAAAGTATTAAATGAAAAATTTTTTGAAAATTTAAAATTACTGCATATAAAAACAAAAAAATTATTACTGATTTAAAAATTAATAAATTCAAATAATAAAATAGTTATTCTTAATTGTTTTTAATTATAAATTTTAAAACCAGAAATATATGTGGCACTGTTTTAATAAAATAATTTAATAATTATACTAATTCATAATAGAGTACAAATAAGTAAAATTTATAGCAATCCTTTAATTTTTTTTTAAAAAAATAAAAAAAATTCAAATAAAGTATTATAATATTTTTCTCGAGTAAAAAATTAAGAAATTTGTAATTTAAAAATTTTAAATAAAATAATTAATAATAAAAGGGCATTTTTAATTTAAAATCGTAGTATGAAATGTCCTTCAAAATAAAATAATAGGCATTAAATTAGATTTATAATTTTATTTAACCGAAATTTTATTTTTTTAAAACCTAAAAGTGTTTTATTAATGATACTCCAAACTATTGAATTAACCGAAATAAATGCAATAAATAAAGTTTTACGAAAATGGAGACTGAAAATTTCGTATAAGGAAGTAAAAATTAAATACATTTAAATACAATTGTCGTGTTTTGGGGGTGCATTAATTAATAACTGAAAACTATATTTTTGATTTAAACTGCTAACCTGATAATCTCCAGCATCTTGGAATGAAATCATTTCGATACGGTTAGTATTTCTCTAAATTAAAACTAAGAAAAAAACTGTAGAATAAATATTAAAATCATTCTACGCGACGGAAGAATAAAAAGCAACACGCTGTAATTTTTACTGGTTAAAATCAATTACCATTTTGAAATTAAAAACTGCTTACAAAAATTCTAACTATACTTCGTGGTTTACATTAAAAAAATAAAAAAAATAAAATAAAATACTTAGTTAAGCTGTCACTTTTCGACATAAAAATTTCAGCCATTGCATTTTTAAAAATTAAAACCTTTGAATTTTTTCCTTTGATATGACTTACCTTTGATAGGCATGTCTTAACATGCCAACTAGATTTAATGTTTGAAAGTTTGTACGGTTTACAGTTAATTTGGTTTAAAAACCTTAAGACTAAAGTTTATTAAAACTGAATTTGTTTTAATTTTTTTTTTTTTTTCTCAAGAGTATATGAGTTTGTTAGATTATAGTTAAAATTTTTATAAGTAAAACAGAATGGCGTCAAATACGAACACTTTATATGTTACGTTTGCAGACATCTATCACAATCTCCTAAAAATTTGGGGTCAAAAAAACAGGATTGGAGCAAGTTATATTGAGAGACAATTAATTCATATAACTCCTGAATTAAATAGAACGCCTTGTTTACACATGTCTCAAATAAGAGCGGGCATGCTCTGCTATGTAAAGTGTTCTGAAAACAGTTATTATCGTGCTCGTGTCATTTCTTATTTAGATAATGATTTAGTTCATGTTGTATTTGTGGATGTAGGCAACAGAGATGTTATCCATATTTCAAACATTAAAATTCGATCTGGAAACGAAGACGTTTTATTGAAAATGGCAGAACAAGCTGATGAATATTGTTTGGCTGGTGTTGTTGCTCCTGCAGGTGGCTGGCCAAAAGAAGATATCAATAAAATTCGACTTTTCGTTTGCAATAAAGAAGTAATTTATAACGAAATAAGAGAGATCGAAGGTTTAAAACTAATAGCTATTAAATATGAAAACCAAAGTTTTTCTAATTTTTTAATTGAAAAAAAAATTGCCCACTATGCTTCAGTAGATATACAGTCACAATTAATTTTAACCTACTTTAGAAGTGATAACATATCAAATCCAGGTAAAACATTAGAAGAAGCTAAAATGAATGTTTTAACTGGTTTACAGTTTTCAGATAAACAGACAGGTTTGAAAATTTCTTCTTCTTCAAAAGTTAACAGAAGAGAATTTAAAACACAGTGTGCTACTTCTCCCACTTCTAATGTTCCAATCAATTTAGAAAATTCTCCAATGAAATTTTTTAGTACTAAAAGAGTAGTCTCTCCTATATATAAAACTTTGCAGCCTAATTCTGATAAATCTGTTTTAAATAATTCCTTTCACAACAATACTAATCAAATGTCTGCTACAAATGATAATCCAATGACCAGGCAAAACCCTCATTTATTGTCAAATCCTTCCTCCCTCAATTCAAAAGAAAGACATGAACAAATAATGAATTCATATCAAAATGGAATGATAAGGAATTTATCGTACTTACAGTTTAAGCAAAATAACTTTGAAGAAAATGTTAATTACTTACCTCATGACAATATTCCCCACAATTATTTTAATTCTGTGAGTAGAAATAAAATAAAAAATTACTAATATATTTTAAATTGCTTGAAATTTGTAAATAATTATTAGTGTTGCACAATAATCAGGTATTAGAAGTTGGAAGCACTCACAAGGTATGCATATCTTGCATAGATGATGGACCTTGGTCATTTTCTATACAGTTAATATCTAATGAAAATGATATGAACAAATTAATGGAAGAATTGACACAGTCTGAATTATTGCCAATTAAGCTTCCCATGGTTCTCGGGAATCCTTGCATTGGTGCTAGTGTTCTTCATAAAAGTTTATGCAGGTAAATCAATTTTTACTGGTTACTCTTAAAATTATTTAATTTAGTAATTAAATTAAAATTGTTGTTTTATTCAATATCAGGGGAGTTGTTGTGAGCTTATCTCTCAGTGCAGCTAAAGTTTATTTTGTTGATTTTGGGAGTACAGAAGATTTGCCAGTATCTTCCATTTATGAAATCCCTCCAAGGTTTTTTCAAACAAAGGTTTTGTCTCAAAAGTTTTGTTTAAGTGGATTGCAAAAAGTAACTTATTCAGAAGAAATAAAAGAACATTTTAATGATGTTGTTCAAGATAAACTTCTTATACTTCGAGTTACATCTTTAGGAGGTAAATTAGCAATTATTGTTGAAGTATTTTATTTCTCATGTTAATTAAGGGAAAATTATTATTGGTAGTTTTAGTACAAAAAAAAAAAAATTTCACTTCATACATGTAAAGCATTGTATATCATTCAACAATTGAGTTTTTAAAAATAATATTTTATTATTCATGAAAATTTTAAAAGAAGAAACAAATTAATTGATGAGATCATTTTATTTTGATTGTTAAATTTTTAAATTTTAGAGGAAAACCTTCCATCCTGTGATTTGTATCTAAAAGATGTTAACATAAAGCGAATTTTAAATGAAAGAGTACAGAATTCCAGAATGTTGAATAATTTTAATCCTAAAATTGGAGATTCGGAAAATGTTGTGATAACCTGGATAGATAGTGTACAGAAGTTAGTAACTGTTTTAAAATACTCATAAATTTTTTAATTTTTTTAAATGTTAATTTTTAATTTTTAGATTTTACGTTCAATTACAAAGAAGAGAGCCTCAATTAAATGCTCTTAAAAATGAATTATCTGAAGCTGGTTTAAATGGAGAAAAAATGTTATTCGAAGACCTTAGAGTTGGTCTTAGATGTATTTGCAAATATCATATCGATGGACAATGGTATAGGGCAATAATAATGTCTTTTTTGTCAGAAGTAACATCATTATTAAAAAATTTTTCAACTTAATTTTTACAAATTGTTTATTTAATAATGAAAATAATTTTTATTTTTTAAAGAGTAAAATAACTGTGTTTTATTTTGATTATGGTAATACGGAAGAAGTTAATATAACCTACTTGAAAAAAATTAAAACTTCGAGTTTGATTCATGATTTGGAAAATCAAGCCATACAATGTTGCCTACATGGATTGGATTCGAAATTCAATGAACAGGTAGGAGACACTGATAAAATTGATTAAATTTTTTTTTTTTATAGAAAATTAAAACAATCTGAATTAAATTTTTTTTTGTCAATAATAAATATCAATTATTTTAGGCCCTATCTAATGCGTTTGAATGCTTAGTTATGGAAAAAGATTTAAAGATGAACATAGATTTAATTGAAAATGGTCAATTACATGTTAAATTATTTTTAAACGAAGAAGATATTGTTCCTTTATTAATAAACTCCCATGGTCAATCTTCGCAAGAACCAAATAAAAAATCTTCAACAATTGATGGTGGTATGATCAACAATAAATTATTTTTAAGTGATATTTTCACGCACTTATTTCATCAACTGAAATATAAATTAAAAAAATAAATAAAAACGTTTACCATAAAGTAATATTAAAACCTTTATTATTTTAGGTTGGAGAGAAAGAAATTACACAACTCATAATCAAAGTTTTTCTTCTTTTAATAAAAAAGGTTCAACAGAATTCAATAAGAAATTTGATAAAAATAATGAAAGCAATGCCTTTGGTGGAAAAAACAGGTATTAAAAAAAAATCTAACTCTTTTTGCCCTCTTTTAAAATGATACCCTCAATAAAATGAAAAAATTGGAATTTAAAGGTGCTAAAAATAATATTTTAATTTAGGACGAGAGATGAAGAAAATTGGCGTGAGAGAAAGTCAAATTTACCAAATAATGAAAATAATATAAAAATAGATAAGTTAAACAAAGGATTAAAAAAAAATGATATGAAGCATACGTCAGACAATGAAAATGCTTCTGCGGGAATCGTTAATAAAAACGATAAGAAACCTTACTCCAATCCGGAAAAGTCAAACGTACCTTTCAATAAAAAATTAACGCCGGAAAAACAAAGTTCGCTTGGAAAAAAGGAGGGTAACGAACCGAAAAAGTCAATCGATAAAAAAACAGAAACCAAAACTCGTTCTACCGAAAGGAAATTTCGTTCGAATTTCGAAAGAGATAAATTTGGAAAGGAAAATCGAAACGATTTTAAAAGCGATATAAAAACTTCTCCATCGGAAAAAAGTAACAACGGCAACAGCAGCAGCAGCAGCAGCAGTATCAAAGAGTCGACGAAGAAAGGTATACTTATCTACAGGTTTTTTTTTTTTTTTTTTTGGAATTTTGAATGTTTATATACATATAAATACTTTAATTTTTCAGAAAGTTTTCCACGCTTTGATGCTAAATTCAAAGATAATTTTGTGAAAAACAACACTTGTGAAAAAGGAATAATCACATATTATATTAGCCCGGATGAATTTTACATACAGTTGCTGAACAAAGAAGCGGACTTTAAGAAAATGATGGAAGACATTCAAGTTTATTACTGTAATAAAAATCCTTTTAAATACCCTCTCAAGGTACGAGATGTTTTTTACAAGTACACCCCTTCGTTTTAATTATGATGCTTTTATGAATATCATTATCATTCTCGTAGGCAGATAATGTAGTGATTGCTCAATTTTTATACGATAATATTTTATATCGGGGAGAAGTTGTTAAATCGAATCCTTTGACTGTTCGTTACGTCGACTATGGTAATCAGGAAGAAGTTGAACCGAGCAGAACTTGGCCGGTGGCTAATCAATTTTTTAGTCTTCCAAAACAAGCATTTAAGTGTAGATTGGCAAATGTCGTACCGAACGGTAGCTTTTTTTTTTTTTTTTTTGCCTTAAACTAAAAATGATTTTTTTGAAGTCATAAAGTCAGTGAAATAATTTATTTATTTTTTTAAGGAAAAGAATGGCCGTCACTAGGTTCAGACTTGGATAAATTTTTCGAGTCGGAAGAATACAAATGTAAGTTTGTGAGTTGCAAAAATGACGTATACGAAGTAACATTGGAAGATTTAAGCAGTGGAAAAGATGTGGGTTCTCAAATCATTGCTTCCGGTTTTGGTAAATTAAAAAAAATGACGAATGGCAAGTTTTTACGTATCATTCACGAATGATGTTTAATTGAATGTAACGACAAAAGGTTTGATTACTATTGGTTTTTTTTTTTTAGAAATTTCACCGACGGATTTTTCACTTTTGCCGAAACAAACATTAAAATTATTTGTGACTCACGTTCAAAACCCGTTTAAATTTTACGTTTTGCTTAATCCTTCGTGTAAAAAAATAATCGAAGAAGAAATCAATTTGTGGGCGTCGAATAAAAAGGTTCGAATTCTTAATTAAGGTTTTACGATTATTTTTATATTTTGAATTGAGCGAAAATTTTCATTGAAACCTGAATTTTTTTTTTTTATTTAGTCTTTACAGCCGGTCGAAAATATAATGTCGGAAAACAAATATTTGGTGACAAATGATGATAAATCATGGCGCCGAGGGGTCGTGACTGATGTTGGAGATACCGTGACGGTGGTTCGTCTTATGGATACTGGGGAAGTTGTTAATATACAAAAAAATAAGGTATGCGTCCACCGATGTTGTTCATTTTAAAAAGGAAAGAGTGAAAATTTATTTTTAAACAATCAAATAATTTTTTTACCTTTTAGGTATTTTCACTACCTGATCATCTCAAATCTTTTTCTCCGCAAGCGGTTGAATGTTCTTTAAATGAAAAATCGATAAAGTCTCACGATTTGGGTTCCGATTTTAAATCCAAAATTGAAAATAAGTTTAATTTGGTTCATATTGTTTCCGTAGCAGACGAAAGGTATGCTGATAAAATTGTTTTTGTGTAAAAATAGCAGACTCAGTCAGTATTTTTTATTGATTGTGCTGATGAAATCATTATGTAAAATTTATTACGTAACTTTTAAGTTTATCGTATTCATTTTATTTTAGGTTATCGGTAGAACTTTACGATGAAAATGGTAAAAAATTTGATTTTCATAACGAAAATTGTCAAATGGAAAATGTCGACCCCATAGGTCAAGTTCCAATCATTGCTCAAAACGTTTCGATTAAAGTACCGCATTTTGAAAATGTCGAACAAGTTTATATTTCGCGCGAAAAAGATTTACCGGAACTTGAAAATTTAATTTCCAAACTGACTGAATTTTACAAAAATTTTCCGACTCCGGAATTTAGCGGGGGAAACGAAGGCGATCTCGTTGCTTTTAAACTCAACGATGAGGAAGAAGGGTCTTGGTATCGGGGTAAAGCGATGAGTTTTTCGAACGATATGGTCGAAGTATTTAATATAGATTTTGGAAAAAAAGAATTTATATCACGTAAAAATGTGAGAAAATTAGACGCCTCGTTTTTTTCTTTACACTCGTGTGCTAAAAAGGTACGATTGAATGTTGAAAATTTAAAAGGAATCGAAACCAAGTTGAAAAACCTGATTCAAAATAATTTTTTGATTGGGTTTTTTATTAACGAAGATGGAGTCTTGGTGTCCGACCTTGTTTTAAATGGGAAAACCGTGAATTGTCATCTAAATTTGAAAAATTCTTACTGTGATAAATTTGATAGTATTTTAGCTAAACATAAAGTGAATGCAATGACCTCCGACTGTGATTTAACAAAAAATGATTGTTCTAAAGACACTTTGAAAGATTTAAAAGTTTTGGTCGTTCACATTGACAGCCCGAAAAAATTTTGGGTCCACAAAGAAAGTTCTCTGAACGACTTGGAAGAATTTCAAGAAAAACTTCAGGTATATTGCGAATCGACTCCGGATAAGGAAAATCCTCAAGTTCAAAACGTGGTCGGAGCCATGTTTAGTAACGTTTGGTACCGTGCTGTTGTTTTGAGCGTGAAAGAAAAAAATTTGACGGTTGAATTTATCGATTACGGAAACATATTAGAAATCGATTTGAATTCAAACAGTATTAAGGATCTACCGAAAGACTTGATCGATGTACCTATATTTGCCACGCAGTTTTCGTTAAAGGGTAATTGGAAAAAAAATGCAACTGCGAAATTTGAAGAAATAATCGAAGAATACGAAGATCTCGTTAGTGTAGTTATCTTAGAGGAATCGAATCCGGTTGTTGTTGATTTGTACAAAGGCGGTGAAAGTATTTATGATATTTTAATGAGAGAAGGAGTAGGCGATGGAGACCATGGGACAAAAATTGATGAACCAACCAATTTTGGCTTTAAAACGAACGATAAGAGTGAAATTTCAATCTTTGAAGATGATAAGGATAAAAGGAAAGAGTCAAATTTGGTAACTGTATACATTTCTCATTGTAATTCCCCCGATGACTTTTACATTCAAAAGGAAAGTTCAACCGAAGTATTACACGCTATATCAAATGCATTATCGGAAGCTCATAATTTTGAAGATGCAGCGACAAAAGAAGACAATAAATTATACGCTGCGAAATTTCCCAACGATGGCATGTGGTACAGAGCGAAATTATTGAGGAAAGTGGAAGAGGGAGCAGAAGTCTTTTTCGTGGATTTCGGTAATGTTTCGATTGTTAACGAAATAAAATATTTACCCGTCGATTTGATCAAAATTCCATATTTATCTCAAAATCTGTGTCTCGTTTATGGAAATAATTGCGATTCTTGGTCTCGAAAAGCTTGCGAAAGGTTTTTAGAATACAACGATGAGAGACCGTTGAAAATGAAGACGATGGTCGAAAGAAGAGACAAATCCATCGTCGAACTTTATTTCGAAGGGAAAAGCATAAGCGAAGAATTGGAAAATTATTGTGAAAACGATGGGAGATCAAATGTTTACGTTTGTCACGTCGATTCTCCCTCATGTTTTTACGTTCGTCACGTCGAAGATGAAAAATTTGATTTTATTATAAAAAAATTATCGGAAAATGAAAAAGATTGTGAAAATTTATTATTATCCGAACAAAATCCTGGAACCCTGTGTTTAGTCGCCGATAACGAAGAAGAAGAAGAAGGAAATGTTTGGCATCGGGGTAAAATATTGAGAATCTCAGACGATGGTTGTGAAGTTTTCCTAATTGATTACGGAAAAGTTTTGATCTCGAGGAAAAATTTGAAAAAATTATTATCAGATGAGGTATCGGGAATTCCTCCCAGAGCAATCAAATGCAGTTTAAATCTTCCGGAAATGGAAAACATACCTGAAATCGTCAAAGATGAATTTATTAAATTAATACCGGATGGGGAAACGATTTTCCGAATGCGTGTAATTTCTCCCGGAGAAGTCAATGTCGTAAGCTTAAAATTAAAGGGTAGAATATTAGAACAAACTTTAAATTCGGATTACATACCGGAAACGGTTAACGATAAAACGTCTGACAAATTTTCCAATCGCGATTCGAACGATTCGAAGGATAGAACGGACGATGATAAAAATTCAAAAAATTTTTTCAACGTAACGAATAATTTGGAAGATGATGTCCGTGCGGCGGGTAGCAGTTCTCTCTCGAACGAAACAGACGAAGAAAAAAGATTTAAAATTGCTGAAGGTTTCAAGAGTGACGATGATAAAGAAATTGCGGAAATTGCGTCGTCGTCGTCGTTAAACGTCACGGATAATGATTTAATAATGGACGAGACGACTGTCGAAACTCCGGAAATGAATGGTTCGATTCCGAGCGATGAGACGAAGAACGTGGAAGAAGAATTTTCAGGTTTGGGTAATTTGGAAAATTCCAACGAAATGACGGGAAGGAACAATCACGATAACGACGATCATGCTAACGATACTCAATCTGCGAATCCAATGAAAAAAAACGATTCATCTTCTAAAGAGTAAATCAAAAACTTGTTTAAAATATTCAAGGTATGGAAAAATTTGGAAATTGTAATTTTTTTATGTAGTTGATGATAATACAGTTAAAAATCTTATAACGGTGCCTAGAAAATTTCTTTTTTTCTTAATAATATTTCTGTATTTTCTATATTTTCACTCATCTTAATATATTTTACTGTTTTTTTTTTAAAAAATTACTTTAAGTAAAAAGTGTTTAGAATTTTTTTAATAATAATTTTAACTTCAATTTGGAAATATCAAGTCCTTAAACTTTAAGTTAACGGTTATAAGGAAGGAAGGAAAGAATTTTCTTCTTTTGTTTTTGTGCATATTTTAAAAAAAAAATTATTTTTACTGTTACGACATGTGTTTTTCTTCTTTTTCTTCTTTCATTTGATGATGATAATAATAATAATTAATTAATTAAATTTAATTTGTTACTAATTTATTGTATTTTTATTTTATATTAATTAATTCTTGGTATGAATTTTATTTTTTAATTTTATTTATTTATATATATATATATATGTGTAGACGTAATTTTTTTATTTTTTATTTGAAATATTGTTATTATTATTATTAATATTATTTATTGAAACAGTATTTTATATTGATAAATATGTTAAAATTATTTAAATTTTTTTCATTTTGATTTAAAATAGAATTTAAAAAAAAAAAACAAAAAAGTCACTTACCTATTTTATATATTTCCGTCCGTCCATTCGTCCATGTCGAACCTTGGAATTCATTTAATTTATTTTTTATAATTGCTTGATAAATTTTTTTTGCCCACGTTGATTGTAATTAAAGTAAATTTAGTAAATTTTATTGACGGAAATCAATATTTCGTTGAGAAAATTTTTAAATTTGTACGATGACTTGAAGTGGAAGCAGATAATCCAATTTAATTTAGTTTTTAAAAATGGCGGACGTTAGCTTTTCTTCTCGTGCTTACGCAAAAATGATTTTACACTGTGCCAAATATCCTCATTGTGCGGTCAATGGAGTTCTTTTAGCTGAATCACTTAAAACAAAAGGATCTAAAAACAGTGAAAATTTATTATTTGTTGACGCCATTCCATTATTTCATATCTGTTTACATTTGTCACCTATGTACGAAGTGGCTCTAACGCAGGTAGAAATTTTTTTCTGAAATTATTAAAATATAAATATGAGTTAAATGTTTTTTTTATTATTACAAAAAGTCATTTTCACATTTCAAATTAAAAATCATCTTATCAATTTATTAATTATAAATTATTTCCTAAATAAATATTTCTTAAATTTTATGTATCTTAACTTTGTTTATCAGCACCTGTTACAATTATTAAAGGTGTGTATTAAGAGGTTCATATTTGAAAAAATGATATTTAATTTTAGATAGATCATATGGCTGCGTCCAAAGGTCTTGTAATTGCCGGTTATTACATAGCAAATGAAAATTTTAGGGATATAAGTTCAGAAACAGGACACAAAATTGCTGATAGAATTGCTGAAAATTTTCCTTCAGCTTGTTTAGTCGTTGTAAGTTATAAAAAAAAAACAAAACAAACTAACATAATAATTTTTTTTTTTATAATTATACATAATTAAATTTTATTGACCTATAACAGATAGAAAACAAAAAATTTCCTTCATGTCATGGAGATTCAAATGAAGATTCTCCTTTAATTGTATATCAAAATGCCGATGGAAAATGGAAGACGAAAGATAAATCCAGGTACTGAAATAAAAAAAAATTTTTTTTTTTTTTTTTTTTACATAATAATTAATTGTTAATATTTAATTAAACCATACATTTTAGTATTGAAATAAGCAATAAAAGCATAAGTAAAACTTGTGAATTAATGATGAAGGGAACACAGGATGTTGTTGATTTTGATAATCATCTCGATGACATATCCCTAGATTGGTGGAATGATAATTTAAATAAATCCATTGAAGCAGAAGACTGTAATTAAAATTAAAGTTAATAAGTGATTATGACATATTCAATTTATTATTTATTAATGTTATCTTGTTACTTTTTTTATCTTCAATTTTATTTAATTCTATGTTGTTATTTATGAAAAAACATTCGATAAATTCTTACTAGTCACCTGTTATATACATTAGTGTATATTTAACAAAAAAAAAAAAAAATCAAATAATATTCAATCACAATATAATTAATTGAATGCAGTGTACAAGTGTTATATCTTTTTGAAAAATAATAATAATAAACTTATTATTTATCACATCATCATTTTTTTAAAAATAATTTTAAAAAGATAATTACGAAATTATTAGTTTTTAAAGGTGAATAAACAATAATATACAAAATAATTTTTAAAAACTTTTTTTTTTTTTTTTTTCATTCATTTATAATAATAATATACTTTTTTATTACAACCTTAACAAAAAAAAAAAAAAACAGAAAAAAAAGATTAAAATATAATTTTTTTTGGACAAACTAATAAACTAGCTTGCCAGCAAGCTAATAACTAATTAATTGGTCTTTCACCTAATAAAATTTTTAATTATTAATTTTTTATGTACGCCATTTAAAGCGATAAAATTTTCTAAATGTGCAACTACTTTTAGGTTGCTATTATACCTATACAATAAAAACCTTTTTTTATAATTTTCTATTAAAAAAATTAATTTTCAAAATTGTATTTACAATTTTCAAAGAGAGAAATTTTTTATAGCTTTTGTATTTTTACAATTACATAAGGCATGGATTATAAAATAATAATAATAATAATAATAATTAATATATATCAATTAAAAACAATAAAAAAATTAAAAAAATTTTTTTTTAAGCACAACCTAAAGCAATCCGATTCCCCTAATTTCCCTAATTTTAAGCCTTTTAATATATATATATAAATTTTCAATACTCATCTTTTCTCGAATAAACAACTAAAAAAAATAAATAAAATTTTTTATTAAAATCACAACCTTTTAATAATAATAATAATAATAATAATTTTTGTATTTTTGTGTCATTATTCATGTGCATTTTACATAGAAAACTTTTTTTTTTTTTTTTTTTTATAATCGGTGTATTCCTACAAACTCAATAAATTTCTCTCAAATTGTTTATAATTTATTATACGGTCTACAATGAAATGATAAATTTTTTACAAAAGCTACAACTTAAAAAACAGAAAATAATAATAATGATAATAATTTTTTTTTATTTAGGAGGGCTTTTAACACTTCACTAAATTACAAGAGAAAAAAAAAATTTTTTTTTTTTTAGTTTTTTAAAAAGATTTGTAAAAAATTCGAGAGTAAAAAAAGATTTTTTAAATGCATTTTAAAATTTAGTAGCAAATAAATAAAATTTTCATATATATATATATATTTATAAATAAATGTTTATTTTATTTCACTCCATATTTGTTCGTTAATAATATTATTATTATTATTATTATTTTAATATATATCACCCATTGAGTATTCATCCGTTAATTTTTTTTTTTTTTATATCACGTCAAACGATCACAAAACCGTTTTAAAACTTTATTTTATTGTTTTAATAATAATAATAATAATCGTAATTGCCACGTAATCAGGCATTTGAGCAAATGTAACAAATTAAACACTTTACAATAACAATTTTTTAACAAAATCCAACAATATAATAATAATAATAATAATAATAATACCATAAAAGCATAATTTCCGTTACGTAACTGTTAACCTTATTGTCCAAAATGGAAGGAAGGACTTGAATTAAAATTCACTCAAATTGTTGTTGTTGTTGTTGCTCAATTATTATTTATAATAGGTTTTAAAATAACCCATAAGGCTATATATAAGATTACCAGGTACTGTGCAGCACATTTAAACAGTTTTCCTAAAAAAACTGTTTCAACCTAATCTAAAACCTTTTTTTTTCTTTTTTTTTTTTTTTTGTTTAGTATTTTTAGTTAAATTTTATATTATTAATGACCGAATGTTAATTAAGTGATGATCTTTGAGCATGTTGTATTGGTTTTTTATTTAAAGTTGAAGCTCTCCTTGGCCAACGTTGAGGACTTGATGGTGGTGTCATCAACGGTGTTCCCGGTGCTGAATTCCCACGTTTTTTATGTAAATCGCTAAGAGATGATACTCCAGGCGGAAGTTCCGTGACGCTCGTTCTAGAATAATTAAATTTAAAATTTTATTTATAATAATAAATTATGAAATATTTAAGAAAAAAGGGTTACCTCGAAGGCGATCTAGTTTGCATTGGACTTGGACCCGTGTAAGAATGTAACCCGGCAGGTCCGCTACACGGTCTTCTTCCAGGAATTGGACTAAAACTGTTTATGGAGGCACTGCTTCGGGTTAAATCTGGTCCACCCATTGGGGTTGGAGTTGGCGGAAGCATTCTTGGTGATGATGATGTTCTTAAACTTGACGAACTTGATTTCCGCCGAAGTGGCCTAAATATCAAAACAAATCCGTTAATAATAATTATTAATCGATTGTCCGCCATGTTTTTTTTAATAAATAAAGCAGCAAAACAATACTAAAATAAATTACATTAAACCCAGTTAGTTTTTTTTCCTTTGGTGTTAGTTATTTGAAAATAACTTAGAAGATAAAATAGTGATTAAAATTTTATAAACATAAATTAGTGTATTAAAAAAAAAAAAAAAAATAAAATAAAATAAATGCAAACACTCACAAAAACCCAATAAACACGCCATTAAAAAAAAAAAAAAAAATTAATTTAATTTTTTCATCATTTATTATTTAATTACAATTTAATAACTTACTCGTCTTATTATTTATTTATTTATTATTATTAATGAGTTTTAATGTTGTCACGTTTAATATTTATTGATTTGTTTAATAAAATACTGTCCGTTTAAAAAATTTAAAAAATAAAAAAATAACAACGGTATCAATAGATAATTAATAACAACATCGACCATGACTTTTTGCGAGACTCATCTTTTCCACAAAATTTTTTTTTTTTTTTTTTCTACACAAATGAAACTTAATATAATATAATATATATTATAAATATAAATAATATTCCATCATTTAATCGACGACGACATGTGTGTGTGTCTGTGTATGTGTATGTGTTGTATATTTTTTTTTTTTTTTTTTTTTTTAATCTTCTTTCATCCTAAAAAAATCAACAAATTCATTTATGGATACTAACGCCACGATGAATGTGATGAAACGTTGAAAGGACTTATAGACGTGGTATTAACATAAATAACTAAACATTTTCAAACGGTGAGAAATGGAGTACAAAAATTTGTAATAATGGACGCAATTAATAAATATTTATTAATTTTATTCGAACCTTTTTACGCTTGGACTTCTGCATAAACCCGTTGGACACGTTTCACCAACGGGACAATTTCCTTCGCACAAATCTTTCGATTGTAATAAACTTTCATAGTTCATTAATGATAACCGACATTGTTCTTGATCGGATTCTACAAGTGCAAGAGACGGATATCTTTCTTTGAGCCTTTTCCTTTCCTCTCCCAATCTGCATGTTTCGAATTCTTGAAGTTGTTTTTGAAATCCCAAATTGGGATTAGCAACGGATCTACCGACACGAACGACTTTTAACGCTTCTTTCCACGACAAATCCGTTACGCTCATTATATAAGCCACGGTAACGGTTACACTTCTCGACATTCCGGCTAAACTAAAATAACAACAATAATAATAATAATAATAATTTTTTCTAATCCGGGGCGGACATTTTGTTTTTTTTTTAAACCGTGATTAATTGCAACAACAACAACAACAACAAGAAAATTACCAATGAATCAAAACGTTTCCACCTCTAAGTCTGGCTGCGTGTATAAAATCATTACATATTGGAAAATATTGACTTAAATTTTGATCCGGAGTATCGGACGCCATGACACAAAGATAATGTTTGTCCTACAGAAACGAAAAATAATAATAATAATAATGAATATTTTAAATAATATACTAAAAAAAAAAAAAATAATGCGAATATTTATAAATTATTATCCATTTTGAAAATTTTATTCGAATTGACAAACGCGAATCAAAAAAATCGATAATAATAATAATAATAAAAAGTTGAAAATAATTTATATTAACGTTTAAATAATTCAGTAGTCGAATTTAATATTTAATAATGGAAAAAAAAAAAAAGAGTAAAAATATTTTCTACGAAAAAAAAAAAGAGAGAGAGAGAGAGAGGAGAGACTTAGTTATGAAGTTGCTATAGAAACTTTTAACTGGACTTTGGGTAAACATTAAAATGAATAATAATTTATTTTATTTTATTTTATTTTATTTTCCCACGTAATTATTAACGTTTTTTTCTCTCATTTTGTGTGTAAATAATAATAATAATAAAAAAAACTCACATGATGTAATTTTCTGGCTGCATCATGTATTGCAATTATGTGTGTGATTCCATATCTTTCGAGTTGTGCATTGTCTTTGGAATCTCGGTAATTTCCGACGTATAAGCCGGGAAGAACCTAAAAAAAAAAAAAAAAAAGATAAAGATAAAGAAAGATAGATAGATAGAAAAAAAAGAAAGAAACAGAGAAATACAATCTAACGAAAGGATAAAAACAATGCAGCAATGTAATACGTGATGAAAATAAATTTTTAAAAAAAACAAAAAATTTAATTTGTCGAAAAGCGTAAAATTCTCCTTTCGGAAAAAATATAAAAAAATAATAATAATAAATTCAATAACAACAAAAACAACAACAGGCTCTACTACTACTACTACTACTACCACCACTACCACTACCAATACGACAACAGCAATAATTTATCATGACAATATCGACATTACCTCGAACCTAAATAAATTTTTTATTATTAAAATTTCACATTTCTTTTTTTTCTATTTAAAAACCTTTTTAATTTTTTATTTTATTTTATAAAAAAAAAAATAACTTTTCCAGACTTTTCCAGACTTTGACTGCTTTAAATAACAATCCTAAATAACAAAAGAGACAAAAAAAAAAATTTCACTTTTTTTTCCCCCATTTTTACGCCTTATTTATTTACATTTAACAAAATAAATCACTAAAAATTTAATTTCGACACAAAAATAAAACAACGCGAAATATCAATAATAATAATAATAATAAAAATAATAATAATAATAATAATAATAAAAATAAATTAAAAGAATTGAAAATAAATTAAGAACGAAATAAAATTTACAAAAAGAAAATTTTTTTTTTTCAAACACGTGATTAATATGTCGTCGTTCGTAAACAATAATTTTCTTTTTTTTTTTTTTTTTTTTTTTTTTGAAAATCACCAAAACAAAATTTATTAAAATGAAATCTTTTGAAAAATAAAAAAATCTAATTTTTCTTCTCTTTTCTTTTTTCCTTTTTTTCCAAATCGAACTAATACAAATGCAATTATAATATAATAAAAAAAAAAAAATCACAAAATGGCGAACGGAAAATGGCGTCTTATTGGAAAAATCATTTTACTCATTGCTTTTGTAAGCAATTTTTTTTTTTTTTTTTGTGTGTTGAAAACGAAGTACTAAATCATAATTTTTTTTTTTTTGACGTTAAAAATAATAATAAAACAAATTTGTTTTCTAAAATGCAAAATATTTGATTTTCATTTTAAAATTAGTGTGGTTACAAAAAAAAGTTTTCGTAAATCTATTTTAATCAAATCTACAATCGTAACCGACTTTTTTTTTCGTTTTACAGGAAATATCGACTAAACAATAAATAGTTCAAATAAAAATAAAAAAATAAAAATACATGTAAGTTTATCGTGTCGAAGAAAATTTAAATAATTATTTTTAGGGAAAATTCTCAAACGTGCATCGGGAAAAGTGAAAAATTTTGAAAAAGATGAAAGAACTGGCCATTTTTTTTTTTTGGAAACTCGCAATGGAATGTTACGGAAAGCTATAGAAAAAAAAAGAAAAATGGCGATTCTCATCATCAATAACTTAAATTATTTGCAAAAGGCTCAAAAGGATACCTGAATCCTTCCGAATTTCCGATGTTTTAATTCCCAAAAGAGAATGACATTCGACATTGCAAACATTTTTTATTATTTTACATTATATATATTTCGATAAAAATAAAAAAAAATACTAAATTACATACGACAGAGAGAGAGAAATAAAATCGTCAACAATTTCAAACCGGAAATTAAAAAGAAAAATTAAAAACCTTACAGGAACGCTTACTAACAAAAAAAAAAAAAAAGAAAAAAGAAAAAAATTTAATTTTTTAAATGAAATGATTTGATGACGTCATTTTTAAAAAAAAATTAATTAATTTTTGTCTTAATTAGATTAGATATTTTATTCATTTCGAAATAATTTGATTTCTTTTTTATTAATTACTCTCGAATTAAAAAAAATTAGGATTCAAAATTATCATCATCATCGTACAAAGTTTTCCATAACTTTTTCCTTTTATTATTATTTATTTCCTTTTTTTTCCTTTTAAATCGTATAAATATAAATAAGAATAAAAAATATTTTCCAAAAAATATGGCACGAGAATGTTTAAATCGATACGAGTCCATTTTTCTTTTTTTTTAAATAAACCAAAAGACGAGGAAAACTAAAAAAAAAAACTAAAAACTTTTTTTCCTTTTTCCCAACCGGAAAATTTCTTTCATCGCACGCATTTTCAAAAAAAAATAAAATTCGTAAAAAAAACAAAAAGAAAAAAAGAAAAAAACCTTCAAAATAATTTTTTTTAGTTTTTCATACTTTTGCTAAATGGAAAGAAAAAAAAAAAAAAAAAAAAGAAAATTCGTGAGTATTCAATCAATCACTTTAAATTTTTTTTTTTAATGGAGATGCTTTACAAATTTATAAAATATGATATTTAAATGGAAAATTAAAATTTTCCTTTGTTTTTCAGAGAGAGAGAGAGAGAGAGAAAGAAAATTTCAATAGGATAAAAATAAAAAATAAAACGATCTCAGGTGTTTTTTGATTTCATTTAATTAATAATGATAATAATAATAATTTATTATTATCATCATTATTATTATTTTTCAATTAAGAAATAAATCAGGCTTCGATAAACCCAAATTTCAATTTTTTTCCCTGATTTTTATAACAAAAGAAAGAAATAAAGCAAAAAAGAAAAAATGGCGCGGGTATTAAAGTTATTAATCAAATTTTTTTTTTCCCCCCCTCGAAAATGGAAAATTTAAAATTTAAAATGAATTTTTAATCATCACCAAGTTAATTAATATTATTATTATCATTATCATTATTAACACATAATAAACTTCAAATTTATTAAACTCGAGGAGAAAAAAAAAAAAAAAAAAAACTTTTTTTCTATTTAAAATTTGGGTCAACTCGAAATTCGTTCAAACAAACAAACACAAAAAAAAGCAATTGGAAAAGTTTTGGAAAGTGAAAAAATAAAAAAAAAATAGTAATAATAATAATAATAATAATAATAATAATAATAATAATAATAATATATAAAAAGACAAAAACATGTTATTTTTCCCCCCCCCCCCCAAAAAAAAAAAAAGTTTTATTTTTTATTATAATTCACGTCGTCCTTGGATTATGAATTCGTTGGAAGGATGTTTTTATTATTATTATTATTATTTTATTTTTTCCATACACGTTCCTGTTTGTGTGTGTATAAAAATATTTTTTTTTAAAAAAAACTTTTGATTAGACTTTTTCAACGATGTTCTTTCCCCCCACACCCCCACTTCCTCCCACTTTTCGACAAATTTTATTTTTTACGACTAAATTATAATGGAGTGATAAGAGTAAAGTTTCGAATAAAGTAATTCTCTTAACAACATTAAACGCACGTAATTACATATCATTTGAAATTCGCCATCATTTCCCCCTCCCCCTCCCCTTCCTCCTCCCCCCATTTAATTCCGAACGAAAAAATAAAATAAAATAAAAATATACGAGAATGGATTAGAATTTTATATATATAGAATAAAATCAAAATTCTATTAAAAAAAAAAGATTTAAATAAATGAAAAGATATAAATTTTTTTTTCCCGTTTGTTCGTTTGTTTGTTTGTTTGTTTGACACATATTCAATTTTCTTTTTTTATATAGAAAAAAAATAAACAAAAACCGAAATATTAAATGAAAAACAGAAAAAAAAAAAGAGAAAAAGAGAGAGTGAGAGGATTAAATGATTTCGTATGATTTGTTTTATTTGGAAAATAAAAATATAATAAATTTTCCGTTACATGTAAAGAGAGAAAAAAAGGTTTCCCAGGAGTTTATTCCCAGGATGAAGATGAAAAACAGGACGTGAGGGGGGGGGGAGGGAGAAAAGGAAAAAAAAAATTATTTAACAAGGAAAACCTTTTCGCGAATAAAAAAATTTAACAATGGGGAAATACGAAATAATCTTTTTCCACCATTTCGAAATGAAGTTTTCTTTTTTTTTTAACACCTCTCCCCTACTTCTCCCCCCAAAAAAAAAAAATTCGACGTAATTTATTTCCGGTACATTAATCAAAAAAATGTTTAGTTTTTTTTTGATACAAATTTTCACGGTAAAAAAGGAAAAAAGAAGGAAAATGATGTCAAAACATTTCGACGATTTCGTAAAAAAAAAAATCGATAAAATCATTAGTTATTAAACCAGGACAACAACAAAAAAACTAGAAAAAATTATTATTATTATCATTATTATTATCATCTTCACATGTAAAAAAAAATTATTTAAAAAAACTCACCGACGTCATTTCAGGTTTTGGCGGTAAAAGCTTTTTTTCAACTATTTGAACCCACTTTTTCATGATTTCAAATATTTTTTATTTTTTATTTTATTCTTAAAATATTATTTTAATCGATCAGTCAATCAATCAATCAATCAATCAGTCAGTCATTTTTCTTTAGGACATTCTGAAAATTTTAAAAAAGGTTTTTTTGCTGTTGTTGTTATGTAACATGATAAAAATTTAATTTTTAAACTTACACACACAAAAAAAAAAAAAATTATTATTAACAACATTCTGTATGCTATTTTGCTTTTTGCTTTTTTTTGCTTTTAAAAAGTTTTGCTGCCGTTTATTGCCTTCAAAACATAAATTTTTTTATTTTTTTTTATTGATTTAAATATTAAAGCCACAACAGTTTAAGGTTTTGTTTTTGAATACATGAAAATATAAATTAACAAAATTAATATAAATAAAAAGAAGAACAAATAAAATAATTTAATATAAAATTTGAGGAAATAATTTTACAGGAAATAAAACTTTTCTTAAAGGAAGCGAATAATAATAATAATAATAATAATAATAATAATTCATGTGTTAATAAAAAATGACTTCATTTTAATAAGTCACTGCTATTATTATTAATATTCTTTATTTTGTACGGGGGATGGAGAGGAAGGGGGAAGGAGAAGGCGGAGGGGAGGGGAGGGAGGGTTTTAACTTAAATTTATTATTTTCGCACGGTTTTCATTTTTGGGTAAATTAAAATAAAAATGAAAATGAAATTACCAACACATTTATAAAAAAATTTTACTTAAGAGGGAAAAATTTATATCGTCACAATGATAATGCCTTTGAAAAAATTATTATTATTATTTTTTTGAGACAATGCCAAAATAAGGCCCCCCCCCCTTTTTTTTTTGACGCAAATCCGCGCATTGACAAAAAAAAAAAAAAATTTTTTTATTTTCTTTTTAAATTATCAATAAAGCTGCAGGATTACATTCATTCTATCTAATTAAAATTGTTTGTGCAAATGATGCAAAACATGTAACAATAAAATAGTATTTTTTTTTTTTTTACTTTCAAAAATTATTAATGGGAAAAATTACAAAAAAAAAAAAGTAATAATAATAATAATAATAAAGAACAACGAAGACAAAAAAAAATCACCCAAATTTTACTCAAATTAAAAAATAAATAAATAAAAAAAAGTGCAAAATAATGTGCAAAGTGTATATATGTATGTATAAATTTGCCAGGTGTGATTTTTTTTAATCAGGTACTAAGGTTTTTTTTTTTTAAATATATATATATATATTTGTTACCTTGTTCATACCATTTCCCATGATGGGTAAGATGAAAACCGTGCGAAGCCATCGACACGCTACATTGTTACTGGAAAATAAGGACGAAAAAAAATATCAACGCTTGCGCGCCATAGGGATTTTCCCCAGTAGAAACATCATTATTGGCCCCCCCCCCCATTTCCCTTATAAAATTAATATCAAAAGATTCTATAGTGCATTTAAAAACCGCAGTGTGCAATTACAGCCGCAGGAGTAAAACCAATTTTTTTTATTTTTTTTTTTTCCACACACCGACCTTCATTTTTTTTTTTTTTTTTTTTATTCTCCCTTGTTTAATTTAAATAATAATAAATTTATAATTTTCTACATCTTTTATTTTAATAAACTAGAACGCTTATTTTAACTGATAAGAAATTATCTATTTTTAAAATATCACAAGTATTAATGAATAAAAAAATATGTTATGGTTTAATTTAACTTGTAACGGTTTTTTTTTTTAATAATAAATAAAATTTAACTTTGCTTGGTTAACACGAGACTGTCAAGTACCTAAAAATTTATTAATGTATAATATGATTACTCGTGTTGCTTTAAAATAAAGTTTGTAAATCTTAATTTTAAGCATGAATTCTTTTAAAAAACTAAAATGTACTCCAACAGTAATAATTATTTTTGAAAAGAAAATATTTTATTGAGAAATAAATAAACAAGAAATAATGTATTTATTTATTTTTTTTTAGAACTTTCCGATATTGAATTTGAACTATCGATTAATAAAATACCAGCAATAATAAAACAAACTCCGATACACCAAAAAAATCCTATATTTTCTTGAAAAATTAAGTAGCCCAGTAGACCCTACAAAACAAAAACATTTACCTAAAGTATGTTTATAAGGAATGGTAAGGAAAAATGTAAAGGCTCACCGAAAAAACATAATTGGATGCAGTGTTAACTGCTGTGGCTTCAACTGAAGTTCTAGATTTATGAAGAGCTTTTATGAAAAATGTCCATACCATACTATTGAATAATAACATTAGACAGAAGAATGTGATTTTTAATAAATATTTTAACTAAAATGTAAACGTTTGAAAAACTTTTTGTTAAAATATAGCATAAAAACCACATACAGAATATTCTTATATTTTTAAGTAATAATTAAAATTATTATTTATTTTTTTATTTGAATTAAAAAAAAAAAAAAAAAAAAACTTTATTGTGAAAACTTACCTTAACATCAACTGAATCATAATCAAAACCAGATAGTTTACCAAATGTACTACCTAAAGAAGCACAAAGTCCAGAAAATAATGCCGGTGAAATTTCTAACATAATTATACTTTTTTAAATAATACTTATAAAAGACAAAACAAACAAAAAAACAAAAACCTGGAAAAAAAATTTTTTTTAAAAATGTAATTTGATGTGAGGTTTCAATGATAACGGGGTTGCAGAATCGAAGAAAAATGGCTACCGGCTTTTAATTGTTTACATTGAACTTCACAGACTTTTTTTTTTTTTTTTTTTAATCTGATATTAATAATCCTACTTATTTGAATTAATTTATTAATAAATAATATCAATGACAAATACAAAGTTTAGTTTATGTTCGTGTTTTGCATTAGCGAAAATAAGACTGTTTCAAATACTCAGCAATTTTTAGGCAAAAATGTATACGTAAACATGTTAATAATCATAATAAAATAAGACTGTTTTTCAAGGTTTGAAAACAAGGTAATTTTTTTTATCATTTTTTTTATTTTTTTACCTGTTTTATCAGTAAAAGTTTTGGAAATTAATTTTACTAAAAAGAAAAAAAAAAAAATTTTTAAACAATCAGTTGTTGGGTTTTACTTGCCGTGCAATCAACCTGGAAGATTTTATTGTTAGCCGTGAACCAGTTTTAAACCTTCATAGTTCAACTTTTCATTGTTCCATTTCATGCTTGTTCCTTAAAAAAATTTTTTTTTTTTTTTGAAAATAATTTAAACCCTTAGAAATATTAATTTGCTAAATACTCATTTTTTTTTTTTTTTTCAAATGTGAATTTTCATTGTCTTTTTAAAATGTATTAGTTATTAGCTTTAGATTATTTTAATAACAAATCGATTTAAAGTGTTCGTTACACACAATTTTATTGTGATAATTGCAATATGTTAATAAAAAAAATTAGAAATGTTAACTTTTGTTTAATTTTATTTAGGTAAAATTAAAAATTTTGTATTAAATTTATTTTTTAATTTAAATAAACAAAACTATTGAAATTACAATTTGTAATTTTGAATTAGAATATAATAAAATGGATCCGGTAGATTAAATATGATTGTATTATTATTATTTTTTTTTTTGTTTACTTAATTTTGACTGGTTTACTTAAAATCTAAAATAGAATTGCTTTATCACCTTTTGATATTTTAGTATTGTGACTTCACCTTGGATAATGTGAAAAACATTTATAAGGAACCTTCAAAATAATGGATCATTCTGACTTAGTGGCAGAAATGCCACATGTTGAGAGGCTTAGCACTCAGGAGAGACTTCACCTGGCTAGGAAAAGAAGGCTGCAGCAGTTAAAAGTTTGGGCACAGAGAGAAAAGGAGTGGAACAAACACCATAAAAATGTTAAAGAAAAAGTTACAGAAAAAAAAATTTATTTTAGCAATTCTGTGATGCTTTTAGAGGCAGCTGCCAGAAATGACATAGAAGAAGGTAAACTTTATCGCTTTGCATTTTTATTTTCCCTCGCTAGCTATATCGCAGTTAATAGAAAATATTTTACTTTACAGTGAAAAGACTTTTAATGTCGGGAGTAGATCCCGATTCAACTAATGAAGATGGTTTAACAGCTTTACATCAGTGTTGTATAGATGACAATGAAGAAATGATGAAATTATTAATCGAGTTTGGTGCTAATGTTAATGCTGAAGACTCTGAAAAATGGACTCCCTTGCATGCAGCTGCTACTTGTGCACATTTACATTTAGTTAGATATTTAATTTCCAAGTGAGTAATTTTTTAAATTACTGCTTTGTTTATTAAATTATGAAATGCAAATTTAAAAAAATAAGTCAAGTAGACTTAAGTATAAAAAGCTGCCTGAATGATCAATAAAAAACAGTTATTGAATAAGAATTTACGGCAAGTAATTTTTTATTAGAAATTGCAAAATCTTTTTTAGTTAATATAGTTTATACTGAAATTGAAGATCATTTTTTTTAGTTTTAATTGTAGGTCATCATTTATTTAATAAGTTAAATTTAAAACGAAAACTTACTTGTCTATAATTTTCTAGAGGAGCTAACTTATTAGCAGTCAACGCTGATGGAAATATGCCATATGACATTTGCGAAGATGAAGCTGCTTTGGATTACATTGAGGGTGAAATGGCAAGAAGGGGAGTAACACAAGAATTAATAGATGAAACAAGAGCAGACACAGAGTTAAAAATGCTTGCTGATCTTCAAAAAGTATGTATGATTCTTTTTTATACTAAACACTTTACAGTATTATCTAAGATAATTCACTCAATTTTGATAACAATATCTTTTTTATAGGCTAGTGCTCTTGGATTAGACCTTGAATACCAGGACAGTCAAGGTGCCACTCCCTTACACATAGCTGCTGCTAATGGCTATCTAAGAGTTGTAGAATACCTTCTCGACCAACATGTTTCAACAGATGTGCAAGATATTGATTGTTGGCATCCTGTTCACGCGGCAGCTTGCTGGGGGCACGTGAGTGAAATTACATGTATAAAGTCAACAAATTGAAAAAAATGTCATTATTAAATTATTATTTTTTTAATAGCTCGAGGTATTAGAATTATTAGTACAAAATGGTGCCGACTTGAATGCCAAAACAAAGCATGACGAAACACCGGCTGATATATGTGAGGACGTGGAATTAAGAGAAAGGATTTTACAACTTAGAACTGAACAAGAAACAAAGAAAGCTCAAGAAGCACAAAAACGAAAAGGTTAAAAGGTCTCAAAGTAATAACACTAGAACGCAAAGTGTACGGAGAACTTCTATAAGAGATAAATCGTTAACTTCAAAAAAAGATGCCGTGGAAGAAGCGAGATTGAGACTGACATTAGCATCTGAGGTGAGCCGATTTTATTTGATTACATTTTTAATTTAGGCATCACATGATTTATGAGTGTTGTTTAAATAGCTTTTATAAGTTATTAACAAGTTTAAATCGATGTCATAAAAAAGCTTTTATCACTGTGTAAACACGTTAGATTGTTGCAAACAAAAAATTAACATTACATTGTAAATTAGAGGCTTGATTTTTATTATTATTATTATTATTATTTTAGTTAATCCTCGCTTTATTTAAAAAAAAAAAAAATTTTTTTAAGGTTCCTATACAATCTCCACCCAATAGCAATGGTAGCGTCGAATTACTAGTTACGGAGAATTCCAATTTAAATCGATGGGAACAAGAGAATAATTTAGAAGAATCTGTAACAACGAGTAGAGAATTAATTATGAGGAGAGAACCAGAGGGAAAAGATCACGAACACGAAAATGAAATTATTGACGAATTTATTAATGAAAAAGGTAGTGGTTGTCAATATGAGATAGAATTAAATTAGTAAAATTTTCGTTCGTTGACCGTTTGTTTGTTTATATTAGTCGTACCAGCAGCTGAGACTTCTTGCGTCACTTCCGAAAGTGCCAACGGTAAAATAAATATTAACGTAACCGTTACGATAAATACGTTGGCGGATTTAAAGAAACAAAGAGCTCAAATTCGAAGTTGTAATTCGGATACGAATGGAATGGTCGGATTAAGTCCTCGTCCCTCCGTAACAGGTTCGGACACGGTTTCCGTGGATAATGGAGGAGTGAAAAAATTTACAGGTGCAACAGGTGATGTAGTGCCAGATGTTAGGACTCGTAGATGTTGCTTACTTATGTAGATGATTAGGAATTTGGAACGATTGGAAAAAAAATTTTTTTTATGATGATAACTTTTTTTTTTAAAGACTCGAATGAAATTAATTTTTTTTCGAAAAAAAAAACGAATTATTATGAGCTGAAATGAAGCAGGTAGCTTTAATTTAAAAACACCGAACGATTTGGCCTTTTTTAAATACTTTACAAATATTTTTTTATTTGTAGTAAATGTAAATTTACCCCCCTTATTATTATTATTATTATTATTATTATTATTATTGTTTTTTTTTTTTATAAAAATGCCTTCGGATAATTTATTAACATGCCGGATTTCTGTGATGATTTTTTTTTTTTTTATATATTCTTTAAGTTTAAGGTCAATTATTTAAAAAAAAAAAGTTTTTTGTTTTCCCCCCAACCCCCTTTTTGTAAATATAAAAATTTTTTAAAACCCTCGTGTACATATATATATATATATTTAAAATTTAGAATAATTAGAAAGGATAAAAGCGTACAAACCCCCTCTCCCCCCATTACCACCATTACTAAGGGGGGGGGGTTATTTGATTTTATGCATTTTTTTATTTAAAAAATTTTGGTAGCCATTTTTTTTTTTCGTCTTTTTAACAATTTCTTCAATGATACATTTAAAAAACAAAATGGTGATAGGGTTTAGTGTACATAAAAAAAAAAAAAAAAAAAAAAAAAATTTTATGAATTTTCCATGAAAAAACGTTCCGTGAAAATTTTTCTTGCATTTATTCTTATTTATTCATTCGCACGATTTATTTATTTATTTTTATTTATTTATTTAAACATTTTTTTTTAGTTAAAAAAAAATTTCCGAGTGATATATAAAAGTTAATAAAAATTTAACGATAACAATTCGTACTAAAAATGAGAAAACAATTAACTAGACGTATTAAGATTTTTCCAATAATAATAATAATAATAATAATAATAATAGAGGAAAGAAGCCATTTTGATTTTTCTTTTTTCTTTCTTTTAAAAGTAATAAATAAATTCTAAATAAATTAATTAATTGTAAAATGCCTTCGACCTTATAGACTGTAGTGAGTGTGATGATAGTTTTTTGTAGTAAATTTTATTATTATTATTATTATTATTATTATTATTAATTTTTTTTTTATTTGAAATGGTTACAGAATGAAATTAATTTATTGTCGTGGTCCCGAGAGTTTTTTTTTTTTTTTTTTTGTGCGTAAAATTTACGTAATCGGAAAATCTAAGGGAAAATTTATGACTTTTATATTTAGCCAATGGAAGTTATAAAAAAAATTGCCTTTTTTTTTTTTTTTCTGGCGTCCTGTTAAATAATTAAGGAGGAATGGATAATTTCGGGGGGAGGGGAGTGAGGGGATAGGGAATAAGAGACATACGACATATTTTCCGATTAAGTAAATTTAAAAAAAAAGAATATAATATGCCAACGCGTGCGAAAAAAATAAAAATAAAAATAATTTTTGCCTTTAAATTTAGCGCGAGCTTTAGACAGATCTAGTCATCATTATAATAATAATAATAATAATAATATTAAAATAACCGGCTGTATAGACGGTTCGTTCAGCTTTAAATAACATACATAAATAAGCTAAAATAAGAAAAATGGTTTTTATTTTTATTTATTGCCATTCAAATAAAAAAAAAAAAGAAAAAAAATTAACTCATAAATATTTGTGTTCCAAATGTATTTTGTTTAAACATTCCATTTTTTCCCCAAATATTAATAATAATAATAATAATAATAATAATAATAATAATAATAATAATAATAATAATAATAATGTTCAAATTTTTTTTGATTTTTTTTTTTTTTATTTATAAAATTTAAATTTTATTAATTTTTTTTTATTTAACATATCGCAATTCATTTAATTATTAACGTGTATTAGGTTTTATCGTTGATTAAATAATCAAATAATAATAATCATAATAATAATAATAAAATTTTTATGTACATTTAAGTATTAAAATTATAAATAAAAAAAAAAAATAAGAAAATGAAGTCAATCAATCAATCAGTCAGTCAGTCAATTCTAAAAAAATCAATTTTTTCCCCCTTTAAATCAAATTCATTTCATATCGTACATGATAATGATGATAATAATAATAATAATAAATTTCTCGGGTAACACAAATTTAATATTTTTTCAAAAAAAAAAAAAAAAAAAAATTGTATAATAATTAATAAGTTCCTCTTAAAAGAAAATTAATGTTTGTTATTGTAATATATATCCTTACGACATATCTATCTATTTATGTATGTGTAAATAATGTTGTTTAAAAAGATAATAATAATAATAATTTCATTCCTCTTAGTAATTAATTATAATAATAATAGTAATAATCATGATAGTACTTATTTGTTTTATAAAAAAAAAAAAATATTTGTTATACAATATATAAAAAATTGGAACAAGTTTTTAAAAAATAATAATAATTATTATTATTATTATGTTTGATGTTAATTTTTATATTATTAAAATATATGACAAAAAAAATTTTTTTAAAATGCCTTCTTTTTGATGTAACAATAATAATAATAATAATAATATAAATTTTTTTATAGAATTATTAGAAAAAAAAAGGAAAAATTACAAAAGAAATTATATATTTTCTAAAATTAAAAAAAAAAAAACAATTTAATTTTGTTTATTAATATATAATTATTAATACATAAATTAATTTATTATTATTATTAATTTTCAATTTTTTTTTTAACGGTTGACTCTTATTTTTGAAGTTAAAAAAAAAACAAACAAACAAATACGGTGATATACTCGTTTTATTTATTTATTTATTATTATTATTATTATTATTATTGTTATCATTATTATTAGTATTGTTATTATTGGTTCCTAGGAAAGAAAAAAAAATGTTGGTAACTAATTAATTTTTCCTTTTTCTTTTTCTTCGAAATGATCAAATGATTTTATTTTTTTTTAATTTCCGACATTTTTCTTTTCCAAATTATTTAAATTTGAATTATTATTATTATTTTCTTCATTCAAAAATTGTTATTATTGTTAAAAAAAAACTGTTAATTGTGTCGTTGTGTAATAATAATAATAATAATAATAGCATAGATAAAAAATTACTTATTAATAATAATAATAATAATTAAAATATTTTATATTTGATGATGTTAAAATGATATTAATTAAATGTTAATTATTATTAATAAATAGATTAAAAATAAAATAAATTAAAAAATTTGTCAATGAAATTTATATGTAGCTTTAATTAAACGTACTTAATTGTTGTGTCTTAAAATTGTATTATTATTATTATTATTATTATTATTATTAATAGATTTTAGAAAATGTAAAAAAAAAAATTAAAAGAAAATTTTTTTTTTTTTTTTTTTTTTCAAATGAAAAATAATTTTTTTTTTTTTTTCGGTAAAATAAATTTTTCGTAATTTGTTGTTGTTAATAAATAAAATTAATTAAATAATTTTTATATCGAGAAAAGAAAAAAAAAATTTTCTTTTAATATTTTGACCGTTATAAAAAATTTTTTGTCAATTCGGGCCGGTTTACTTAAAGCCGGGCCGAAAATTGTTTTTTTTTTTTTTTTTCTTTTCTTTTAAAAAAAACTTATTTTTATTTGTTAATTAAATTTAAAATAAAAAAAAATGATTTAAAAGTGAAAAAAAAAAAAAAAAATTAACTTACGTTTCACTCAAACTTTATTCGCCGCCATCTTGAACAATACTGACCGCCATCTTGGTTTTCACTCAAACAATACTGGTCGCCATCTTGGTTTTCACTCAAACAATACTGGTCGCCATCTTGAATTTTCACTCGAACAATACTGGCCGCCATCTTGAATTTTCACTCGAACAATACTGGCCGCCATCTTGAATTTTCACTCGAACAATACTCGCCGCCATCTTTGTTTTTTTCATTCGAACAATATTCGCCGCCATCTTGGTTTTTTTCATTTAAAAAAAAAAAGTTAATTAATAAATTAATTTTTGCCATTTTCATTTGCAAACATTGTTAATATTTTTTAATTAAATTTATTGTAATGATACATAATTTAAGTAAACAAAAAAAAAAAAGAAAAAAAATTTTTTTTAATTTTTGTTTCATTTGTGATTAATTTTTAATGTTTTTAAAAACAAATTGTTTTTTTTTTTTTTTTTTTTTTTTACACAATTTTATTTGAAATAGACTCGATCAAATTAAAATTTAATTAAAACAAATTAATTATTGTAAGTTTTTCTTTTTTTGTGCAATATTTAGTTGAATTTATTGTATTACATTGTATTATTATTATTATTATTTTTATTTTTTGGATTAAAAAACACAACTCACGATTATCCTCATAATTAAAGTTGTAAAAAAAATTTCAATTATTATTGTAGCTAATTGTAATGTGATATTTATTTAATTTCGTATTTCAAATAAAAAATTTTTTAAATAATAATTTTTCTTTTTTTTAAATTTTTTATTTCCTTTCATAAAAAAAAAAAATATTTGAAAACAATTCAATTATTCAAACGGTAAGTAAAATATTAATGGCGCGGTATACTGGAATAAACAAACAAATTCTGTTTCCGTTTATTCGATAACTCGAAATCGTAATTCATTTCGATTTAACGGAAACTCGAAGGGATAAATTCTTTTTTCAATGATTAATGTATTCTGTCATATATATTATAATACTTAATGTATTATATGTGTCAGATTTAAATGTTTCAAAAATTTTTTTCAAATATATTTAATAATTCGAGTGGAGCCATTGTAAGTTTGCTACATTATTATAATTTGTTTATTTAATAATTACAATTTACAATTATTAAAATTAAACAAATTTTATTTGTTTTTCTTTTTTTGGCTTGTTTCATTTCACCGTTACTGAATATTAATTAGTTTTATTGTGTTTCAAATAAAAGCTAATTTATTTAATTAAAGTTTTTAATTTAAAATCAATTTAAAACGAAGAATTTTTAGTTTTAGTTCTGTTAAATCCTTTTATTTTTATTTAAATTTATTTTCCTATACCTTAAAGACAGTAGTTTGTAAGTTTATATATAATTTTACTCTTACCATTTAGTACTTGTTGTCAGGTGACAAATGACCTATAAAATTATAAATTTTGTAGAATATATATATAAATTATATTTTACAGAAAATGAGTTATCTTCATAACGTCGACGTACCTACAAAAAAAGCAACTTTTGGAATGGGTTGCTTTTGGGGTGTTGAAAGTCTTTTCGGAGCTACAAAAGGTGTTATTAGAACCAGAGTCGGTTTCACAGGTGGTAATAAAGACTCTCCAGTTTACAAAAATTTGGGAGATCATACTGAAGCTGTGGAATTAGATTATGATCCCAATGTTGTCTCTTATGAAGATCTTTTGAATATTTTCTGGAGCAATCATGATCCATCTGCAAGAATGTCGAGACAGGTTAGTACAAATATATTTTACACACGATATTTATTTGTTAATATATATTATTAACGATATTATTTAATAAATTTGTTTTTGTCAGTATGCTTCTGCAATATTTTATCATGATGGAGATCAAAAAACATTAGCTGAAAAGACATTGAAAGAACAAGAAGGAAAAGTGAGGAGTCCGATTGTTACAATGCTTGCACCTGCAAAAGAATTTTACAATGCCGAAGAGTAAATGAATTTTCTATTTTATTTACACCCATGAAAATCATTTTAAACTTCATCAAACAATAATAATCTAATATTTTACAGCTATCATCAAAAATATCGCCTTCAACAACACACATTTTTAATGAACTCTTTGCAATTAAAACCGAAAACAAAAGATTTAATACAATCTCATGTAGCGGCAAGATTAAATGGTTATGTTGTCGGATTTGGGGGATGCAAACAATTGGAAGAAGAAGCTGAAAAACTTGGACTTAGTGGAAAAGTTTTGGAATATGTAAGAAAATTGGTAACTAAATATGAAGGTCAAGGAATGTCATGTTAATAAATATACATTAAATCAAAAAAAAATAATTTATAACATTGTTAGTTTAAAATTGTAAATAATATTTTGTTAGTTTTATATATATACATATATTTTTATGTGAAATTAATTGTTTTAATTTTTATTTATTTAAAATAAAATTTTTTTTACGATACGAAGTTTGAGTAATCATTTAACTACCATACCTTCTTAGTATCTATTCCATTCTCTCAATCTGACAGTCTTTACGAAGATTTCCTATAAAAAAAAAAAGAAAAAACAAATAAATCAGAAAATTTTATTATAAATTCGTTAAATCGACTTTACATTGTCTTATCAAATCAGTTAAATTTTTTTTAATTTTGAAAAAGGATGAAAACATTTGAAATTTTTCATTTATCTCGGAGTTCTTGTTATTAAATTTTAACCGTTAGTCACATTTCTATGATTATTTTTTTTCATTCGATTTGTATTTGAAATATACGTCGGATAATTTCATAAAGATTATTAAATAATCTACAAAAGCAAAAAAAATTTAATTTTCATTTCAATCGAAGTGGAAAATATTTTTTTTTTAAATGTTCTACAATCATAAAAATTAATTTTCCTTATTTTTCAAATGGGAAATGAAAAGATAATTAAAAAATAATAAACTTACCATTTTATTTCTTTTTCTGCACGTTAAAAATTTTCAAACGAAATAAAACGTTAATAAAATTCCTTCAATGTGTTATCACAAATAAAAAATAATTTTGTGCCTTATTATATTAAATAAAATTTAAAAAAAATAAACACAAAACAAAATAAATTGATTAAATTATTCTATTAAAATATAAATTTAATCCTAATTAATTTTTTTTTTTAAACAAAAAGTATCATTATTATCGTTTAGCACATGAGATTGAAAATGATTATCAGACTTAATCATATTAAATAAATTTTGCTTTTAAATTTAAAAAAAATAAAATTAATAATAAGAAAGTAATTTATTAAAAGTATGAGACGTATTTACATAGACAATTATACAAATACCTAAAAACATAGATATTAAAAACAAAAAAAAAATTAAATTTAAATTTAAATTTAAAATTAATATTAAATAATAATAATAATAATTCTTACGATCGATCAATCGATCAATTACTTAAAATTATAAAATAAAACACACTTAATACATTATCCTCATCGTCATCATCATTATCGTCATCGTCGTCCATCTTTAAATTTATTGTGATTGCCATTATGAAAAAAGAAAAATTTTTTTCATCATTATCATCATCATCTGATTTAAAATCAAATAAAATCGAAATTAAAAATTTTGTTTTAAAACTTTTGGTTTTTTTTACAACATAAAGTTTACAGAAGTTTCTAGAACAACAACAACAACAACAATTGCATAGCAACTGTTTCTCAAAGTTTTTAACGTACTACAATCATTTTTTTTTTTTTTTTTTTTGTAAAGTAAAAAATAAAATTGAATAATATCCGTTAAACTTATTAAAATTATCGATTAATAAATTATTAAAATAATAATAATAATAATAATAATAATAATAATAATAATAAAGAAACATTGAGGAACAAACACGTTGACATTTTTTTTTTTCTTTTCTAGAGATCAGTGTCGTACCATCCGGCCAAAGGATTGTTTTGATTGTCTTGGGTGGTAGTAGTAGTAGTAGTAGTAGGAGGAGGAGGAGGCGGCGGTAAATCGGCATCCAAATTATCAAAATCTATCGGACCGGAATCTCCGACGTCCATTGGATCAAAACTTGTATTCGGTACCTGACTTTCTATTTCTAAACCTTCCATCGGATCTATTGGAATCGAGTCATACCCTGGAAAAATCCAATTTAAACAAAACTTTTTTTTTTTTTGTTTTTTCTCCAAACAAATGGAGAGAGAGAGAGAGAGAGAGAGAGAGAGAGAGAGAGAAAACAAAATAGTGTTAGTTTAATTAGTATTTAAATTATTTTTTCTTATCAAAGAACAAATAAATTTTATTCTATAGTCAAATCAAGCAGACAACTTTGAAAAAAAAAATTTTGTGTGTATTTATATTTTTCTGGAATAAAATAAAAACAAGGATCATGCTTATCAAAACAAACTCATGCTTGAAAAACAATTTCATAAAAACATAAAAAACAATTCAACATTTTATCTTTTCCTACTGACCCCTGATGAAATCCTTTTAAATATTTTTCCAAATGTTTTACAGCTGCTCGTCACAAATAATTTAAAAAATAATAATAATAATAATAAGGGATATTAGTCATTTTGTAATTACAAACGATTATTATTAGCATAACGGTTTGTGTTAGTCACCATCGATATTTTATTATTTTTTTTATTTTTTTGAACGGTTTTGCTTACCCTGGTTCCCGAATTGTCTTCCTCCGTGAGTGCTGTGTACCGACGGCGGACCTTGACCATACATACCATCATAACCCTGGTCAGAGCCTAACATGTCCTGTAATGCCGGAATTATCAAAAATAAACTGATTTAACTACATACACAATCTAAATAACACTTGAGGAAAAAATCAAATAAATAAAATAAAATAGCAAAAAATGTGCAAAATCAAATTTTTTTTATCTATCCATTTTGTTTGTGTGTGTGTGTGCGCGTGTTCAAAACTTCAAATCAATAAAAAACTGCGTTAAAAATAAAATGAAAAAACCTAATTAATGCAAAAAGAAAATAATTAGGGAACCAAACACCCAAAACAACAATTTTTCAATTATCTCCGATGCAATCTCGGTCAATTTCATCATTATTATTTTTACCTGTAGATCCGGACCCATCCCTATATCCCCTCCATCCCAAAAATTTTGATCCTCACGAAATAGGGAATTTGTCAACTCCAAAGAAAGTCTTTTCTTATAATCCGTCGGTTTATCCTCCGACATTCTGAACAAAATGGCTGCCGCGTAGGTAGCTGAAATACATTTAATTAAATGTAAATAAAATATGAAAAAAAAAAAAAAAATATATATTTAATGAAATGATTTCGTGTTACTCACCCACTCCTTCATTTCGAGAATGTAAAAGTTCCGTTAATGGCGTCGTAGCCCCCTCTTGCTCGATCATTTCAGCTCCTTCTTTGTCCGACGCTAATTCGCATAAAACACCAGCAGCCACTCTTTGAATGTTTTCTATATCGTTAAACAAAAGTTGAACAAATATTGGAATGACAAGTTGGCTTCTTATGATGGCTCGATTGTGAAATTCCCGTGCAAGAATATGTAGAGCACCGACTGTGCCCTCAACAATATCTTCCATTCTCACACCATCAACGAAAGCTCCTCTTTGCGGTCCTCCCCCGCTTCCAACAGCTGATCTTTGCTGTAAAAAAAAAAAAAAAAATTGCAATTTTTTTTTCCTCCCCCCCCCCCCGACTAAAAAGTAAGCACAAATTTGTAAATGTATTTACCCGCTGAATATCTTGAAAAGCTCTTGTTAAAAGTCTAACCAAATGATGAATAGCACCATGCTCTCTCAAGGGAGCATGATTGGCCGGACATAATGCCAAATTTCTAATAAGACCAATGACCGCCTTCACCAAAGGCCACCTGCTAGGAGGATGAAGGAGCTTCACGATCACTTGAATACCATAATTGTGACGAACAGCATTTTGAGCTCTTTCAGACTCCATGTGGCGGGATGTAAGATGCCGAAGAGCACAAACTGCTGGCTCTGTTATTTCTTCTCGGTCTCCAGCATTAACAATTGTTCTCACGAGAGCTTCAACTCCATTTACCTTTTTATTTTCAAATCGTAAAGTTCAAATGAAATAATCGAATGTAAATGTAAATTTTTTTAACGGATAAATTAAAATTACCTGACAAACTGTAACTTTATTTCTCTGATTATTGCACGTGAGATTTCTTAGTATGTCTGCGGCGCATGTGACAACATTAACATCTGTAGATGACAACAGTTGAACCAAACTTTGCAAAAGGCCTTCTAATCCATCCACTTTAGTCCCAGCATCTGACAAATTTCTAAGTGTCCAAAGGCAATTTTGAACAAGACTTTGACTATGATGACCCAAATGCATGGCCAAAGCTTGCATACCTCCAGCTTCCACAATAGCAGGCTTATTACTACTACACACGGAAAGCACTAAAATTTGATTGTGAAACAATGCAAATAAGTAAAAGATTTATTTTCGATTAATAAATTATGTAAAAATCCTTAATTTCTCACCTTTAAGTACCCGAGATGTGGTCCACAACAACTTCTCATAATCATATGTTCTCATTATTCGAACAAGCTCAATAGGTCCCTGGGACGCCAAAACTATTAATTTGGACTCCTGATTCCCATAAGCAAGAATTTGAAGACAGTCGGTGACGATAGCCAGAAATTTAACATTATTTCTTTGTAAAAGAGCAACCATCTTTTGAAGACCACCAGCCAATCTTACAGCCATTTTGGATCCTTCTTGATTAAGAAGAAGATTATGCAGAGTAGTAATAGCATAAAACAAAACGGATTCGACTGGAGAACTGAAAAATGTTAAATGAAAATTAAATAACACATGTGATTTGTTTTTAAATAAGTAAAATGTAAAGTGAAAATAGAATTACCTGAGTAACTTAACAAGAGCTGCTATTCCTCCACATTTAAAGATTACTTGAAGCCCTTGCCTATGCTGGGAAAGATTATGTAAAGTTCCCACAGCTCCTTTTGTCGTTTCTAAATCGTTACTAGTTGAAACAGCATGAACAAGGGCAGTTACCATCTGTAAAAAAAAATTTTAATGCTATTATAACAAAATTTATTTAATTAAATTCACTAATTAAAGATTATCAAAAAATAATTTTATTACAAAAATAACAATTTTAACAAACACATTTTTTTATATTTAAAAAACTTTTTAATCGCTGCGAGAAAATTGAATTTGATTACAAATTAAAAACTTACTTGATGGCTATTCATAATTGCATTTCTGGATGCTTCTTTCTTGGATAATTCGTGAACCATCATGGCAGCTTGCGATACTACCACTTGATCTTCATCATTTAAAAGTTTTATTAATTGTGGTATGGCTGTTGAAGCAAGATCGGCATCTTCTGCTTAAATAATAATAATTGAAAATGTATTTACGTACTAAAATCGAGAGAAAGTAGTCTTTAAAAAATTTACCATCTGCAGGTTCTTGAGTAAATCCTTGATCCAAATCAAACATCAACTGTTCTTCAATATTTTCCTCTTTTCCAGATAATGAAGGAGTTTGAGTGGTGACTCCGGAATTAATTCCAGAGTCCCCAAGGTAAGAATTTTGCTGCCACATCATGGTCTGCTCTTTGGCAGACACTTGGGGAACTAATTTAATAAAAATAAATATTAAATGTTATCTTCTATAATAAAGTATTATAAATACGACAGCCAAATTTTTTTTTAAGGGGTTGCACACCTACACATAATAATAATAATAAAATTTTTAACTTACTTGGACGAGGAGCTTGAGAGGGAGGATAACTCATCATTTCTTCTTCTTTTCCAGTTAGTGAAGGTGCTTGAGTAGTTACACCAGAATTAATACCTGAATCTCCCAAGTATGAATTTTGTTGCCACATCATTGTCTGCTCTTTAGCAGAAACTTGAGACACTGGAAAAACAAGTAATAAAAATAAAATAAATAAATAAACAATTGTTAAAAATTGATGTTGTGAAATTTACAATTACAATTGAAAATATTAAACATTTTTAAATGATTAAAATCAAATTTAAAAAAAAAAAAAATTTTAAACAAAGGTTGTTAGATCGAGATACATAAATCAAAAGTAAGATAATATTACAAAGCAATTTAAAAATACGACATGTAATAATATATAAATATAATTAAAACTTACTCGGTCTCGGGTCCTGAGCTGCAGGAAAATTCATTTCAAAAAATTTATAAGAAATCCTGAAATAAAATAAATAAAAAGTACAAACAATATTGCAAATACCATTCACAAACTGTTATAAATAAACAAATCGATGGCCGCCATAATTGTACGCTTCTACTAATAAATACCGCACCCCACCCAACACAATTGTCAAGAATTTCAACTCGATTAGCTTTCTATTAAATAATGAGCATAATAATTTTAAAATATTTTTTAATTTATGAATGAAAAAAATTAATATAATCTTCTACGCGTATAGATTTAATCGATCCCTTTAATTAAATTAATTATATCCTTGTTTAAACGCATTAATATGAATTTAATATGGGAAAATAACAATATAAACATTAAAAACTCTTCGCGTACACGTGAAAATATATATTATACTCACTTTAAATAAGTTTTTATTTAAAAATTTATGTATAAATTAATCATTTATAAGAGTAAATCAAAGGCAACGTGCGAGAGAGGAATTTGCAATAAAGGAAGAAGCTTAAAAAAAAAAAAAAAAAAAAATGAAACGTCAAAGCTAGAAAACTTTTTCGTGAAATGGTATTTGTTTTACACAAAAAAAAAAAAACATTTAAAAATAAATGAAAAAATGAATTTTTCACATGTAATTATTGAAAATTTGAAATTTTACTCACCGTTTATAAAATAAGTAACAAATAAATAACTAAGAATAATGTGATTTAGGAGCCCCAAGGCTTCCCTTAAGTTTGGGGCCTTGAAATATGTAGGGTTGCCACCTTGAAATTTTTTTTTTTTTTTTTTTACGTAGCGACCAGTTCAAAAAGAATTTTTTTTTTTTTCTTTGTTTAACTTAAACTATTTTTTTATTTCCGTTTTCATTATTTATTTATTTATTTATTACGATTTATTAAAAAGGTTTAAAATTAATAATAATAAAATATTTCTCGTATTCAAATCAAATAATTATGAATTCATTTCGAAATAATTTTATAACTACAATTTTTATTAGTAGAAAATCATACGTTAGACAAAAAATAATAAGTTTTAAAATTATTCGTTACAAAAACAAATTATTTTGTTTAAAATAATATAAAATATGATGAAATTTACTTTTTTCCCCCCTAACTGTTTATAAAAACAGATAAATAAAGATAAATACAAAAAAAAAACCCATAAATTTGTCAATATGTGATTGAATTTTATAATATCAGTTACATAAAATGATTTTTAAATAATGTAAATGAACAATCGAAGGTTACAAAAAAAAATTTATTTATTTTTTTTATTACATTAACTAAATTTTATTTCTTAACAACAAAGAATCGTCGTAAAAAAAAATCAAATATTAACTTATATAATAACATCCATACAAAATAATAATAATAATAATAATAATAATAATAATAATAATAATAATAATAATAAAATTAAAGAGATTTTAATAATAAATTTACAGATAATTGACAAAAAAAAATTTTTTTAATCTTAATTTATGCTCAAATTATTTTTAAAAAAATCTGAATTATGAACAATTGTATTTTTTATAAAAAATGAACAATAAAAAATAATAATAATAATAATAAATTTTTGTTATATAAACTTGTTAATGATAATCGATTGTTTAAATTGTTTACAAATTTTTTGTTTTTTTTTAATGAATAAATTTTAATAACTCATCACTATTGATTGCACTTGTAAAAAAAAAAAATTATTTATTTATTAAATAAAATCTTTCATTTTATTTTTTTATTTTATTTATTCTTTTTCATTCTCTCAGTCGATTATGGTAACAATCATTCAACGTGGGTAACAAACAGCCACAAAAAAAAAAAAAAAATGGAAAAAATAAATACCAAAAAAATTAATTTTTTTTTTTTCTTATTATTTTTCTTTGGCCATTTTTAATCTGTTTTTAAAAAAATAAAAAAAAATAATAATAATAAAAGCGGCGAATCATTTAGTTTTTTTTATTACAACAACAACTAACTGATAATAATAATTGTAATAGTAGAGAAAATGTTTTTAAAACTAATACTTTTTTTTTTGCTAAACTTCACATATGAAAAAAGTTTCAAAAGAACATGGCGTATCGTTCCATTTTAAACCTTTACCATCTCTGTTCCAAAGTTCCAGACAATGTTCTTCTTCTCCATTTTCATATCTGAAATTATTTGGTTCTCCCGTGTTCCAGTTTGTAAAAGTGACCGGACGTCCGGTTGACATCCAAAAAAATGATCCTTCTTCTGCTTGATCCGTTCCTGATGTCCAAAAATGTTCGTTACCAAGACCTGTAAAATATTTCATACGTTTTATATTGGCATTCAAATAATTAACTGAACAACATTACTGGACTTATTTTCTTTTTTTATTACCATAATCTCTTATGTGTTTTTCCAATCTGTCATTTTCTTCTTGACTTCCTATGCTGGCCAAATGCATGCCGTGATATCTACAATACTGTGCAGCTCTGTACCAATTTGCCTGCAAATTTTTAATAAGTTCATATAGTTAACCGACGTGAAAACCTTAGAAAAATCTAGAACAAATAATAATAATAATAATACTAACCTTAAAGAATATACCGAGATAATATCTTTTCTCTCCTGATTTGAGTAATGGCATAGACCATCGATTGGCCGGAGGACTGCTCACGCTTTCTTCTATGCAATTGCTGTTGATGCATTCTCCTGTAATTAAAAATAATAAATAAATAAAAAAAATTTCTTACATTAAAAATGCAAAAAAAAAAAAAAAAAATTTCCCCATTTCACAATAGTAAAGACTAAATAAATAAAAAAAATGTAGCAAAATTTTTGTATAAATGGTAATAGATACGTGGGTTTTATTATTATTTTGAATTAATAACAGCAATTAAATATGGGTTGTGCCTTAAAAAATGAATAACGGCTGCCTACATGGGACAACCCGGAAAAATTAAATTATAAATAACCGCCTTACTCTATTTAAGTAAAAGTAAATATAATTCATTTCCACAACAAAAAAAAAGAAATAGTTTTTAACGTTTTTTTATTACTTACACGTAGCCAAAAATACAATTCGAAACCACGCCATTTTTAATAAAGTAATAAAATTTAAAAAAAAAAAAAAACTTCTTAAAAAAACAATTTTAAAATATGGCAAAAAGAAAACGATTCGGTCAACGACGGCCAAAAAAAAAAACAAAATAACGAAAAATTAATAATGATCATAGAGCAAACAAATTTAAACTGACGACAAAAAGTACGTTCAGTCATTCAAATGACGTCATTTACAAAAAGAAAAAGAAGAAGAAATTTATCATAACGATGAGTTTAACGGTTAAATTTTTAAAAAATTAATTTACGTAATATTTATATGTTAAAATTTTCATTATTATTACCTATAAAAAAAAAAAAAAAATGAGTGAAATTTAGGCTAAATAAATTGTGACGGATTCTTCAAGTTTATTTAAAATTCACGGAGTTATTGAATTGAAAAAAAAAAAAAGAAAAAAAACCCGGTTTACGTCGGTTACGTTTTTGATTGGTTAGTATCCATTTTTAAAATGTTTTCTCTCTCTCTCTCTCTCTCTCTCATTTACGTAATACTTGATTCTTCGCAATAAATCCCATCTTCAAATAATATTTCTTGTCCGAGTTTTTCAAACAAGAAAAAAAAAAACGAGAATTTGACACCAATAATTTCTCTTGATCGTAACGATTTTTACAAATGGCCATTTTAATAAGTAACTACTACGACGACACCTTTTATAACGTTTTCTTTTTCTTTTTACATTAAAATTTAATCAACCCCCGTTCCCTCTCTCTCTCTCCCCCTCCCCCATTGTTTTTTACTTTATTACAACCGCCATTTTATATCACCTCACGAGAAAAAAAACCCTTTTCCCCCCTTTTTTTAAACGATTTTCTATGGCTTCTACCAAACGAACGTTACAAATTTTTAACGGTTTTTTTTTCTTTAACGGTAATAAAAAAAAAAAAAAAAAAATTACGTATTTATTTAAAACGGTAACGTAATTTCGTAATAAAAATACATAATTTTTTATTAACGTTCTCTACTTATTATAATAATAATATTTAAATTAAATGAATATAAAAAAAACCTTACACCTTTCGAAAATGTTATGTTACCAGGTATGAACCTTGTTTTTCGTTAAGAGTAATAAAAAAAAAAAAAATTTGTTTTAATTATTATTACCGTTTCGTTCATTGTTGTAATAATAATAATAATTATACGGATGAAGTGTAAAATTACTCAAGGTAATATTTTTTTTTTAAATTATTTGATTGTTTTTTTTAATTATTACCTGTAATATTATGATATTTAACGTTAAAAAATTACAGACGTTTTTTTTGTAAAAGAATTTCAGGAAAATCCAGTAATATTTAATATTAAGATGGCGTCTCGTACGTCGATTGGTTTTTTTTTTTTAAAGTTAAAAATACTGCAAAAGAAATTTGCCATGTTACCGGTTTTTTTTTTTTTTATTAAAAATGAAAACATCACGATTTTTTTTTTTTTTAAATAAAAAGATCAAGATCGCGTAAAATATGTCTTGTGGCATATTTCCTGACGCCGTGCCTGGCCTACCTTGACTTGATATCTTCTTTCGTCAGTTTAATTCAGTGCGATTAATCACACGTTTGTTTAATAATAATAATAATAATTTCTTTATTCCCCCTATTACGACTAAATTTATTTGTTGACCCTCTAATATATCCGCCTTCGGACATTAGTTTTAAACTAAATTAATTTTAACGAAAATAATAATAATAATTTTCTTTTTGCAAAATGTCCAGTTGAGTGAGTGCCAGGCAGAGGGAGAGTCCATTGAGTTGGGGATGTCAAGGTTAAAGATGTCAACTCTTTTTTTTACTGGTAATGTCATGGAATCCGGGGGGATTCGAAGGAAGGACGACGAGAAAATATTTAAAAAAAAAAAAGAAGCAACTGAAAACGTGCAGCAACACGCCAACGCGTGAAATTTTGTCAAGTACGTCTAGATATCAACAACGACGCACGCACACACTCACGCACAATTACGTAAAAAGAAAAATTTACACACAGGTAACAAAATTATTTTTTTTTAAAAAAAACGGATAAACGGCAAATTTAAACCTTGGCCTTACGATCGTAAAAAAAAAAAAAAACATTTTCCACCATTTTCTTTTTTTCTTAACTAAAAAGAGAGAGAGGTAGAAAATAGCAGGACCCCTTTAAAAACAAACGCCTATGTAATCAAACCTTCAATTACGTCACACAATTTTTTTTTTTCTTTGACTTTCAAACGTAAGAAAAACGAAGGGGACCATTTTTGATTTCCTTTAATTATTTTAAATACCCTCCTTTGTAATTAAATTTAAAAAAAAAAAAACGAGAGTAAAAAATAATAATAATAATAATAATAATAATAATAAAGGACAAACGGTAACAAAATAATAAAAAAATTTATTTAATTTACTTGCCAAAACAACCAAAAGAAATTGCAAGACTCAGGTAATAATAATAATAATAATAATAATAATAATAATCAATTTTACCTTTGTAATTATTTGAAAAGTCAAACAAAAAATTAAAAAAAAAAAAGTCGTTATTTTTTCATTTCATCATCATCATTAACGCCACCACCCTCTTTTTTTGGGGAACCCTTAACAATTTAACAATTTAATTAATTCATTTCTATGACGTTAAAATAATATTTTTATTTTATTTAAATAATAAAATATTTTCACTCGCCGACACAAATTTTTATTTATTTATTTAAATTAGTGAGTGAGTGAGTGAGTGAATGGATGAAAAGAGAAGGAGGAAGAATTTTTTCATATTTGACACAATGACACTCTCTCGATTATTATTATTATTATTATTTTTTTTTTTTTGATTGACTTTTTTGTGTTAAACCTTCGGGGAGAAAGAAGGGAGGGGGGGAGG